TCAGTAAAAATCTCACTGGGATTCTGATGAAAAAAATAGACTCACTTTATTAATTAACATAGGAAAAATTACCATCTTCATGATTAAGTATTGTTTTACAAGCCTATTTGGGTTTTCTGTTTATTCTTGGTTTAATATTGGCAATTTATATTTTAAGCAAAATTATCAATTTATGTTTGTTTAGAAAGTTATTGCAAAAAGCTTTTCAGTATTCTCTCTGATTATTTAAGTATGTCTTCTGCCTGTAGTTATGTCTTCATTTTAGTTCTTGCTACTTCTTATTGTGCCTATTCTATTTCATCATCTTTCTTGGCACAGGTCTATATAATTAGTCTTAAAAGAAAGAAAAGCCAGCTTTTGCTTTCCTTGATCTTGTCATTATTTCTTTGTTTTCTGTTTCATTAAATATTTACACTACTCATTATAATTTTCTTCTAATATAAAAAGTCAGAAAAATGAACAGAGTAATTGTTAAGTTGAACTTCTATAATTTTCCTTCATTTCTACCATATTGTATACATTTAATTTCTTAGGAACTATTTTTGCTGTATGACATAAGTTTTAACATACACTGACTCAGTTGTCTCTCAATTTAAAATATTTTAGTTTTAAATATAAATTATTTATAATTCATTTTATGATCCCTGACTTACTTACTTTTAAATTTACAAACACTTGAACTTCTGCTTTTTTAATACTTTCATAATTGATTATATTATAGACAGAGGATGTGATATGCATGACAAGTCTTTAGCAACTCTATCTGTGGCCTAATAGCTACTCAATTTTTGGAAATGTGTACATATACTTGAAAAAATGATGTATTCACTAATTACACATGTCCATTAGATTAATCTTACACATTTAATTTGAATCTTTTCAATATTCTCAAAATAATATTTAACTAAAGGGTCCTAAAAGTCGCATCATAAATTCCAATAGTCAAATCAAATAACTTTAAAGACTATCAACAATATTATCTGAAAGGCAAATCATGTGTTTGCGTACACATACACACAGGCACACATAAACATTCTTTGTTGTCTATAAATGCTTTATCTTGCTCCCTGAAATAAAGAGCCAACTGTTGGTCACAAAATTCTCAAGTATTTGGGAAGAATCTCCTATCTTTTGGCTGTAAAATCAAGTGAACGTCAAAAACTTTACAAAAAGAAATGTAGGCTGGGTGCAATGGCTTACACCTATAATCTCAGTGCTTTGGGAGGCTGAGGTGGGAGGAGTGCTTGAGGCCAGAAGTCTGAGGCCAGCCTGAGCAATACAGTGAGACCCCATCTCTACCAGAAACTATAAAAAATTCACTGGGTGTGGTGGCACACACCTGTAGTCCCAGCAACTTGGGAGGCTGAGGTGGGAGGATCATTTGAGCCCAGGAAGTCAAGGCTACCATGAACCATATGATCATAACACTGCACTCCATCCTGGAAGGCAGAGCGAAACACTGTCTCTCAAAAAATAATAATAATAATTGAGTAGTCCTGCAGCTGAACTATTACATACAGAGTATTAGTTCTGTTGCCAGGGCCACGTGCTGTAGCCCACTCAGAGCACTCTCTCTGCCTTTTATGGATCCCTAGTGTGTTGGGATCAAATGAAGATAACTTGTTTATGATACAGTCATGCTTTTTGTGATCAAATATAATTCAAACATCTACATTTGTAAGCAAAGCCCAATAATCATTTTGATCATTTAAATTCTCCTTCTGAAATCTTTTCAGATCTATCCTTCTTAAGATCTCTAACCTAAGTATGATAAATTACTTCTGTAGATATTTTCTATTTTGTTTCTAAGAGGGTTCATAATAATATTCATCAATTTGTTAGCTTGTATTTTATTTTTCTTGGATATTCTAACAATATTTTTCCTAACTGATCGGTACATATTGTTGGATGACTAACAATTTTTTTTAGCCTCAATGTTACACTTAATTGTGTTTTGATCAGTATATGTTCATCCAGCATATACTTCCTAATTAATAGTTCTATTAATTACTCAACAGTTTAGTTCATTTATTCTGTCTATTTTAAAAGTACAAAGCAGTTAACCGTATTCTAAAATTTCAATCAACATATCCTGAGTATTCTAGCAATATGCATCTAGAAAGTGAAACCTCCCTTATTGTCTGGCTTTCTAATGACCATACTTCAGAATCATTTAACATCTACAGATAAGTCTCAAGACAATATTACTTAAGTACATGTTAGACTTGTTAATTCACTTATTCTAAGCTCACTAACAAATTTTGGGTCTTCTAATTTGTTTCATACAAACCCAGGACTTGATATGGTCTGAATCTGATCAAGTATGATGGATGACTTCTGTGTCTTCAATTATTCTAAGCAATTAGGGTACAAAAAAAAAAAAAAAAAACTGACAGCACTTTGAAGACTGTACAATATTCAGTATGCAGTAAAATGAAGAGACATGGAAATATACACCTAAATAATTTCGATTCAAACACTTCAATGTGATTCTGAAGAAAGGGAACGATGAGATAGAACGCTTTTATGACAAATAATTTTGTTATTACAAATTAAACTCTATATGAAAAGGGCGTTAACTAATCTGGGCTCTAAGAATCCTGAATCACTAATGAGGGTGCTAATAGGGCAATTATTTGACTTACAAATATTTAATAATGAAAACTGGCATACATGAAGTTCCACTGAGCTAGTGAAGAGGGACTGGATTCTCTAAATTGCAAATTTCTGATGCAGTATTTTCAGTGAAAAATTATTCAGTATAGTACTTTCTTCATTATTGTGAAGCTCAACCAAGTTACCAAGCCATGTAATTAAAGCCATATGTTCACCTTTCTGAATTCTAATCTTTCTCCCCTAATCTAACTAGATCATATATATGTCCTCCAATTATTTTTTTACTGTTTTGCCACTAATGTGACAGAAAACAATGAAAAAGCAAAAAAGAAAAATGTAATATAGAAACTTTAAGCTTGTGACTAATTTTAAGACCAGTATTTACTATAATATTTATGAATCTAAAACTGAAATACATGGAATAGACTTAATCTGAGATTAGTGAGACAGATTGCTTGTATAAAAAGTTTTCATTTTCCTTTATTTTACCCTTAAATAAGTACGTAATGAAAAGCAAATTCTGAATATAATCTACAGAGATACAAAACTGATAATTTGGAGAAAATAATGTGGCCTGCATCATTGTGACAGCTTCCCTGTATCTTCTCTAATCTAATTATGGCCTACAGTCCATTCTCACCAATGCAGCCAAAATAATCTTGTTAAAATCAAAGTCAGATTAGACCACTCCTTTGCTGAAAATATTTTAGTGGTTCCCTACTTCATTCAGAATAAGAAATGCAATCCTTAAATTACCTGCACAGAGTCTTTCATAATAAACCCCCATCTTCAAACCCAGATCCAAACATTTCCAATCTCATCTCCTCCTTTCTCCCCCATACCTTCTCTACTCTGCCAGTCACTATGGTCTCCTTGGGTGTTTCTTGAATACCTCAGACATCCTCTTGCCTCAGGGCCTTTGGGAGTGTCGCCTTAAATGCTCTTCTTTCACCTGACTCATGCCCTTACTTTCTACAAATCCTTGCTCATATGTTGGCCCTCTTCGTAGTGAGGCTGTGGCTGACCACCTTTTTAATGATTTCAACTCCCATCCCACTTCTGGCACTTTATCCCCTTGTTCCTGCTCATTTTTCAGAAGGCATTTATTAGTCTCTGAAACGTTCATTATTTTACTTGCATATTTCTTTCTTACCCATGTCTTCAGATAAAATGTGAGCTACACAAGGGCACAAGTTTTTGTATCTTTTCTCTAATACTGCATTACCAGCAACCAGATCTTACCACATAACAGGCATTAATTAAATAGCCAATACATTAGTGAAAAAAAAAACAACAACAATAAATGAAAAGCAGCCACAGTGATCAACTAGCATTTAGGAACATTTTAGTTGTTCTTAATGTAAAGATCTAAATTCACTAGTTTTTAAATCTCATAGTTTTTAAAAACCGTTAATTTATAAATGAGATTCTAGCCTAAGATCACTCCTAAACACACTTTATGTAAGCAGTATGACTTGATTATTTGAATATAAATTTTCTTATTTAGTGATCTCCAAATCAGTCATTAATTTACTAATAAATTCAGTTGACTATGCAGCATTGTCACTGAAATGTAAAAATCCAAGGATATCATCTTAGTTTACAGAAGGAAAACATGTGAGACAGCTAAACTAAAGGGAAATAAAAAGCAAAGAGTCTTATCAATTTTGTTTTTCTTAAGGTGAAAAACATAATTTTATTTTTAGTTTAAATTTCTTTTCTTTTCTTTTTTTTTTTTTTTTGAGACAGAGTCTCACTCTGTCACCCAGGCTGGAGTACAGTGGCACAATCTTAGCTCACTGCAACCTCTGTCTCCCAGTTCAAGTGATTCTTGTGCCTCAGCCTCTTGAGTAGTTGGGATTACAGGCATGTACCACCAGGCCCAGCTAATTTTTTCTATTTTTAGTAGAGATAGGGTTTCGCTATGTTGGCCAGGCTGGTCTCAAACTCCCAGCCTCAAGTGATTCACCCGCCTTGGCCAGGAATGCGCTCCCATGTTGGGCCAATTTTATTTTTCTTAAGCTGGAACTGTGCCAATAGCTAGTTCCCATGTAGACACTGGACAGAAGATAATTCATGGAGATATGACAGTACAGAGGAGAGCATATTTATATAAACAATAATAAACTGATAAGAAAAACAGTGTCATGAAATTAACTAAATGGTTAATGTACTTTCAAATACGGAATTTAAAAACTAACTAAAAGGTTTTAAGTTTTTCATTTAAATTCCTTGAATTATAAAAGTAGATTTCAATGTGATTTTTAAGCTTTATCCTTCTCAAAAGGACTTGACACATTTCATCACTAGAAATTTCAGAATTTCTACTAGACTTCCTATGACATTTGTAAGATTAAAGGATGTCTTGGATGTTTGCCCCTTACCGATTCAACTAATGATCTTGCTTCCTCTTGAGTGCAACGAAAAGGGCTATCAGATATCTGCACATTTGTGCTGGAGAGGAAAAGAGAATGATATTATTAAACAGGATAAAAAGAAACAATTACCAAAGAAAACCCCCCAAAACTAATTTCAGATACTCCATATCAGTTGTATACTTTCAACCAATGAATGGAAACGCAATGGATAAAAATTAAGACAATGAAAGTTATTGTATATTCTTTCAGGCAAGGTTATAAGTATTGAGTAGTCCACGGCAGAGCACTCTCTAGAATGATGAAAAGATGTTTAAAAGTCCTATTACACAAATCCTAATAATTTCCAGGTATATTTAAAAAGCTCCACCACAATTGCACTTCACCTTTACTGAAGAAAAGAGGAACCAAATTTCACCCACAGAATGGGACTATAAGGATAAATTTTTCTCTTGAGGTGACGAACACTGTAATTAGTACTGAAAGCTGTTGCAGAATCTCTTTCACAGATAAGGAGATTAAAGAGAAAACTACATGAACATAAAGTTCGTTTTCTTATACGTAGGGAAGTTCAGCCAGGTATAAGAACAGCAGCTCCTTCCCTGAGAGGGAAGGCTCCGTAGGGTCAAATGCCTTTCCTGTACCTCTAAAAGCATGCCACTCATTACATATTGCCACCCTCTAGAGGAAAGCAAAAGCATCATTCCTCTGAAACATATTAAGACTGATTTTTAAAAACTTCATTAAAAGAAAAGACAGATTAATATGGATATAGAAATCGGTGGTAGAGAAGGGAGTTAAAGCCAAATTAACTTTTTAAATAGAAGAAAAAGTGATTAGGAGATTCCTAAAAGATAAAAATAATAGGTAAAACACACGTAAACACAAACCCTCAAGTGAACCTAAGGATATACATTATCAAATTTATTTTCACAATAGCTTGTGAAACATGTTGGGATATTGTAATAAAACATCTGTCTATATCTGTCTGTAATTGATGACACTGAGTATACAGTGATTATAATAATAATAAGTGGTCATTTTGGCTTCTATCCAGACTCATAATGTGGGATCCATTTTCATTCTGGGCATAAATAGAATTTGATGAAAATTAACAGCAATGTCTTTAAGACTAAGTTTTTTGCCACCATGGCACGTTTCCTATATAACAAAACTGCACATCCTGCACATGTACTTCAAAACTTAAAATAAAATTTGAGGGAAAAAAAGACAAAGTTTTTTGTGTTCTCTTTTCTACAGCTCATGTTTAAATAAGCTGAAAATTGAAAAAGGTAGAGCCTTGTAAGTCAAATGTTTTCTTGATGAATGTCAAAAATAAATTTTAAAAGAACCAGGCAAAATATTAGAAAGAAAGTGAAGAAAGTATGGTATACAAAGTACTAATTACAATACATACAATGCTTTTAATATTATAACTAAACCAAAGTAAAACATTCCTTGGAAAACCTGGGAAAATGATGGTGAGAGAGCAGGAGGGGTGGGGGGGAGCCTTTTCTAGATACAGTTACTATATAAAACACAGAACAACCAATTACATTTGAATTTCAAATAAGCAGCAAACTATTTGTTAGTTTGAGTATGTCCCAAATATTGAAGGAGACACAAATATTTACATGGAAAAATATTTGTTATTCTGAAATTCAAATTTAACTGGTGTCCTGTATTTCTAATCTGATAAATCTGATAACTCTACTTCTAAATCTGCTACTCTTACAACAAAATGAAACTGTGAATAGGAATCTTAGAAAAAAATGACACTATTAAAGCCAGCACTGTAAAATTTGAAAATAATTACAATTTTATTTTAATTTTAAAAATTAAAAAAATTTAAAAATATCTCCGATAAAATGTCTTGACAAGTAGCCAGTAGTGATATCCCTTGAGAAGGTAAACTGACTCTGCTATTTTTCACTTTAAAAAAATGTGTGAGCAGTCTAGGGTGATGGCTAATGCCTATAATCCCAGAACTTTGGGAGGCCAAGGCCTGAAGTTCAGGAGTTCAAAACCAGCCTGGCCAGCATGATGAAACCCCATCTCTACTAAAAATACAAAAATTAGCCAGGTGTGACAGTACACTCTTATAATCCCGGCTGCTTGACAGAGCAAGACTCTGTCAGAAAGAAAGGAAGAAAGGAAGAGAGGAAGATAGGAAGAGAGAGAGAAAGAAAGAGAAAAAGAGACAAAGAGAGAGAGAAAGAAAGAGAGAAAGAGTGAGAAAAAGATTGAAAGAAAGAGAGAAAGAGAGAAAGAAAGAAAAAGAAGGAAGGAAAGAAGGAAGGAAGGAAGGAAGGAAGGAAGGAAGGAAGGAAAGAAAGAAAGAAAGAAAGAAAGAAAGAAAGACAGAAAGACGGAAGGAAGGAATCAGCACCACTGTTTCAAGAATGAAATGGAAAGGATAGACAAATGAACTTGTAAGATTCTTATAAGATATACCGATACATAGGATGAAAGACTACAAAGTTCCTCGTTAGTATTTCTCAAATAGGCTCTTCTATTAGTCTTTTATCAGCTAAAAACAGTGCCAACAACCTCACTGACATCCTTTTAGTTGATAAAATACGTAATCTGGGTTGTAAGAACATATATGTATGTAAATATGTGTGTGCATACATATATGTACTTTACCCCCTCTTGGATTTAATAAAGTTATTTGTACTTTGAATGTTTAAAGATGTAATAAAAGGTATGATATGAAGAAATATAAAAATATTTTCTGGCCTTCATATAAAAATAGTTGTTTTACATTGATTCATATTTATTTGCCAATTCAAAAAATCATACTACGTGTCAGGGATTTTTCCAGATACTGGAGATACAATAATGATTCATGGTGTCCCCAAGGAGCTTTTAATCTTTAAGATTCTTTTTAGTTTTCAAACCATGACTATGACCTGCTGGAGGAAATGCAATATAATCATTTAAAGGACTGTTAGTGCCTAAGATAAATGAAACTTTACAAAAAACCTAAAAAGAATGCACTGCTTTCCTTTTTATACTAAGATACTAAATATTATATTCTAAATTTATAAATGTTACATGACCTATATAAAACCTTGTTGACCAAAACAAGCAGATGACATTAGAGCAAAAAATCAATAAAACGAAAAATGCTGTGTACAACATACCCAAATTACATATAAAAATAATAAAGTATATTAGTAGACAAATAATAGGTAAAATAAGTGAAAAAAATGCAAAATTACCTGCAAATAATAAACAGACAAATAAAAGATGAAATTTACAGGGCCAGTAACATGGAACTTTAGTGAAGGGAAAATTATTTTCTTCAAGTAAATTTCAAATCAAACAATGTCTCACACTCATGAGAATCCTCAAAAACAGTGTCCAGGATAAAGATTTGTCAAGACTTTTCATTCTAAAGCAAAATAGTCAAGAAAAAGAGAGAGAGAAAATTTAAAGAAATAAGAATGACAACAATTTTAGACCATAACCTCCAAAGTTTATAGAAGAATGTGACCTTGAGATAAATGTACACAAAGCTAAAACAACTGAGGCTATCAATACATGAAGAAGTACCAGATTACTGGTACCAAGACAGACATATAGATCAATGGAGCAAAACAGTGACCCCAGAAATAACACCACACATCTACAACTATCTGAACTTCAACAAACCTTGATAAAAACAAGCAACGGGGAAAGGATTCCCTATTCAATAAATGGTGCTGGAAAAACTGGCTGGCCATACACAGAAAACTGAAACTGGACCCCTTCCTTACACCTTATGCAAAAATTAACTCAAGATGGATTAAAGACTTAAATGTAAAGCCCAAAACCATAAAAACCCTAGAAGAAAACCTAGGCAATACCACTCAGGACACAGGTATGGGCAAAGACTTCATGACTAAAACACCAAAAGCAATTGCAACAAAAGCCAAAATTGATAAGTAGGATTTAACTAACTAAAGAGCTTCGGCACAGCAAAAGAAATTAGCATAGAGTGAACAGGCAACCTATTAAATGGGAGAAAATTTTTGCAATCTACCTATCTGACAAAGGTCTAATAGCCAGAATTTTCAAGGAACTTAAACAAATTTACAAGAAAAAAACAAACAACCTCATCAAAAAGTGGGCAAAGGATATGAACAGACATTTCTCAAAAGACATTTATGCAGCCAATGAACATGAAAAAAAGCTCATCACTGATCATTAGAGAAATGCAAATCAAACCACAATAAGATACGATCTCACTCCAGTCAGAATGACAATTATTAAAAAGTCAAGAAACAATAGATGATAGTGAGGCTGTGAAAAAATAGGAACACTTTTACACTGTTGGTGGGAATGTAAATTAGTTCAACCATTGTGGAAGACAGTGTGGCGATTCCTCAAGGACCCAGAACCAGAAACCCCATTTAACCCAGCAATTTCATTACTAGGTATACCTACCCAAAGGAATATAAATCATTCTACTATGAAGACACATGCATATGTATTTTTACTGCAGCACTATTCACAATAGCAAAGACATGAAACCAACCCAAATGCCCATCAATGATAGACTGAATAAAGAAAATGTTGTGCATACACATCGTGGAATACTATGCAGCCATAAAAAGGAATAACATCATGTCCTTTGCAGGGACATGGATGAATCTGGAAGCCATCATCCTCAGCAAACTAATGCAGGTGCAGAAAACCAAACACCTCATGTTCTCTTTTTTTTTTGGGGGGGACGGAGTTTCGCTCTTGTTACCCAGGCTGGAGTGCAATGGCACGATCTCGGCTCACCGCAACCTCCGCCTCCTGGGTTCAGGCAATCCTCCTGCCTCAGCCTCCTGAGTAGCTGGGATTACAGGCACGCGCCACCATGCCCAGCTAATTTTTTGTATTTTTAGTAGAGACGGGGTTTCACCGTGTTGACCAGGATGGTCTCGATCTCTTGACCTCGTGATCCACCCGCCTCGGCCTCCCAAAGTGCTGGGATTACAGGCTTGAGCCACCGCGCCAGGCTACACCTCATGTTCTCATTTATCAGTGGGAGCTGAAGAGTAAGAACACATGGACACAGGGAAGGGAACAACACACACTGGGGCC